TGTCGGTTTGTACATCAAACGATTTTCGTGCGAAGCGGCGCTCAGTTTGGACGTGTTCGAGGAACGAAAACCGAACAGTCTAATGAAAGAACAATTAATAGACGAGTATGAAAAGTTACCGGTGTTATGGGATCCTAAACACCCATTCCACTTTTTCCATCGTAATAAAAAGGTCGATGCTTGGGAAGTAATTACGAAAAATATGAAAATAGATAGTATTAGCAGCAAAACAAAAAATTGGCAGTTTACTAGGATCCTTTTGTAGAGAAAAAGCAAAGAGTAGAAAAAGTATTGAAACAGGAAAAGGTATTTATTTTTTGCGCAAAATAGTATGTATTACAATGTAGCTCCTACAGCGATGTCTCTTGACGACATTTCGCTATACTTATTCCGGCGAATTGTGGCGAACGACTGGAGTTTTACGCGCACGAACAATATGGACATCGAAAAAAAGTTTCTACGCGCGAACATTCGTGCGCGCAAAAATGCTCACGTCTAGGTCTGTACGCACCTTTAGACTAACATAATTATTACAATTTTAATTCCTCCGAAATATTTATGTACCTCATTTTAATTATGTGTTTTTATCTTGCTCCATTCTTTAATACCCTATTTATATAGATAGGGTATTTCAAAATTCGCAACTTGAAATACTATACAATATAGCAAAAAGTTCTCGAAAATTCTTAAAAAATTAAATAAAAAAATTATTTGTAAAATTTTATTGTAAGCAGCAGTTTGTGAGATAATAAGATGTTTAAATATAGCTAATTATAGACTAAGTTTAGACGGTCACTTGCGAGTTTAGTGAACGTGCTAAAGTGCGTGTTCAATCTAATGCTATCGCACGCGTGACTTATGGACAGGTGGCGGTCTAAATATATTCTATAATTTGGCTATATTTAAACTCGCAATCCTTAAAAACTAATGTTTAAAATAAAAATTTGCAAATAATCTTTTTACTTAACTTTTCGAAAACTATTTTACTATAGTATCTTGGTGTCTTGCTATAGTACACTGAGAAAAAAATGCTGTTGATTCAATTAAAGTCTATATTACGGGCTGTCACTAACATAAGTGATTAGTTCATGTATATTTTTATTGATATAAAGGCATAAATTATTATTTTAATAATAAGGCCTTTATGTCAATAAAAATATACATGAATTAATCACTTATGTCAGTGACAGCCCATAATAGACTTTAATTGAACCAAGAGCATTTTTTTCTCAGTATACGATTTTCTCGTATAATATAGTATGTTGCGTTGTCGGATGAATTACGGGACACCCTGTACATGTTACTTATATACTATATATATGCATATATACATATATGTACATACGTATATTATACAGGATGTCAAAATTCGCGACTCAAGATACTACAAGATAGTTTTCGAAAAATTAAATAAAAAGGTTATTTGTAAATTTTTATTTTAAACAATATGTATATATTATATCTGAGAAAATTTAATTTCACATAATAAAAAATATATACCGAGAAAAATGACATGAAACAACAATAAGAAGTTACGCACGCATCGTTACATATCACTTTTCTCGGTATACATTTTTTGTTGTGAAATTAAATTTCCTCTTAGTACATTCGTTGCATCTGTTACGGCGCTCGTATCTGTTCTGCGTGTAATGACCGCCCCTGCTTGGCTATGCAGATAGCAAGCGTGTGTAGACATGCAAGTGTGCGTGATGCGCACGAGTCGTCTCGAGCATTTACGCACAGCGTACTAGAGGCCACTATTACGCCAGATGTGTCTACTTTGTCTATGAGTCTTAATGTCGATCTTAATGTCGCGATTCTGCAACGCTTGACAAACAACAAAAAACACAGATTTTAGAGAGAATGAGACAGATACGCTCTTGTATAAATAATGAAATGACGTAGCTACGTTTTTCGCTTCCTAAAATAATTGAAAATCAAAACTTATATTATGGGCTGAAGGAATAAACAAAGAAATAAGTATTGTACAAAACTCATGATTATTATGCGAAATGATTATTAATAATTTTCTCAATAGTATGATTTGTCAAGAAAAGAATCCTTTTGAAATATTCATGGAATAATAGAACATAAAGTTGTGTTTTTCTTTCGTACAAAAATCTCGCGCGTAAGATCAGGAAAATATTTATGCTATTTTAAAAATCAAATTTTCTACAGAATGATAAAAGATAGATAAGTACGGAAGAAAAGAGAGTGCAAAAAGTTTAAGTGAAATATACGACCAAGGAATAAAAACGTAATAGGTTAAAATACCGAAGCGAGGACAATAAGATTCAGTATTACAAAGAATTGAGGCGGAATGTCAAAGGTGCTGATCCCTGTTGTGTATATGACAACGGTAATAAGTAGAAGCGAAATTGGATTCGATTTCTTATTCTTTTGACTACTCGGAAGCAACTCGAGATTCCGAAAAAGTATTATATGACCTGGTCTACCGATGTGATTCATAGTCTGTCGCGATCCAACTAGCAGTTGCTGATGCGAGGCTATCAGCTGTGTGTAATCAGCGTGAAGAGAAGGAGAAAGAAACAAGAACAGAAAAAGAGACAAGCCAAGACGGAGTGAAAAGATATGAGATTCATAATCGTCTCGCTAAAAATACATACATAACGTAACGCAGTCTGCAAGAACTTGTCCGTTTTCTATTCGCCGTAATCTATTATAATGTAATTATTGATGTAACGATGAGTAAGTCAAACAACAGTAAATTTATGTCACGTTTTCTTGAAAATCTCGTTTCTATGTAACAACTGATTAAATTGATGTATGTGCGAATTAGACAAATAACTTTTTATTTTTGCTTTATTTCATTACGTAACGCTTTCTTAATTAATATTATTTAATGTTGCTGTTAATCTTTATTTTAATACCTATATTTGTATATGTTTTTTAGATGTATTAAATATTTTTAATTGGACGCTGTATTTTTGCGCATTTTTTGGAAGCGTAGTGTTAAATATCTTAATAATTATTTCGAATCAAAATTTTTTTAGGTCAAATTTTCTTAGAATTGAATTAGTTAAATAAGACTTTGTTACCATTTTTTGTAGTGAAACGTATTTTATTAAAACTATATTTTGTTCAATTCTTCAAAATATTCACGTCTCAATATATTTTTGTTGCGGAAATATCATTTCCGTTTCCAAGAACGAATATCGTTGCGCACACCGCTATGCCTATATTAATTGAAAGCTTTTGTATAATAGTGATTTTCATGAAGATTTGAGAAAATTAATCTAAAACTTAATATTTCAACTGTCAATTTTTAAAGGAAGTTGAACTATTTTATGTTTTTAGTTAGCATTAAATCAAAATAATTAAACTTCTTTCAAGAAATCGTGGAAATTAATCAGTATTTAATTTTGGACATTCAGAATTTTAAAGAAATAAATTTTAGAGACAATACTTTGAAAAAAATTAATAAATATATACTTATTTTAAAACTGACAATAATGAATCTACGAGTAAATCTGATTCTTTTCAGTAGTAACATTAATTTCTTAAATGAAAACAAATGCTAAATAATAAGTACTTTTTTAATAATTCCAAGTAAATATTTACTAAATATAAACATATTTTTCGATACAAAAATCATTAATTCAACTATTATTTTTTATTGAGTAAATATTTATTTAATGTCAGTAAATGTTTACTTAGTGCTATTCAAAGAAATATGTATTAAGATTTAACTTTTTTTTTTCCAATATACTAAATGTATACGTTAACGAACGTTGTGTTTACTTTGAAACCAATTATAGAAATAGATTGATTTACATTTTGACACATACGGAAGTAAATTTAACAAAATATTATTTAACTGAAGATATTAGATTACCATTGCTCCTTCGATTTGATATCTAACAGTATAGTATGGGCGGACTACGCTCCTGGGAGGCTTACAAGTTCGTGGCGGCGGACCGCTGCTGGTGGTTGGCCATGTACATGTGTATGTGTGTGTGTCGCGTAGGTGTGTGTTGCTCCGGGTTAGAAGCTCTCGGACGCGTACACGCATACACCCTACTGACTACGGTCGCGCGTGTCGACGACGAGTCACCGCTCGCGGAGTGTAAAAGACTCGGACTCGCGCTGCGTACCAGCGTACGCCTAGCGTACAAGTGCATTTGTCCATGTGAGCTCGGTCTGCTGGGGACTATAGTGGGGGACTTGGGGAGCATACGTGTGTGGAGGCCGGCGACGCGTGTGGGTATGCGTACACACGCATAAACTCACGCACGCTGTCAAGATATAGCAACTGTCAGTGGGAGCAAGCGTGTGTTTCTCTCAGCTGCGTGTACATGCACGTGTAAATAAAGTGTGAGTCCAGGGACTGTCTGAATGTCTGAATAGAAATGAACGAGCGAGCGCGTCGTTTCGTTTCGGCTCGTCCGAGTGACTCGGTGAAGCGTATGCGTACACGTCCGCCGAGATACACGAGCGTAGAGTAGAAGTGGAATCATAGGAGGAGGCAGCGGTCGGAAAAGGTGAAGGTGAAGGAGGAGGTGCAGGAAGAGGTGGGGGAGGAGAGGGAGGGAGGCACCCAGCGGGACGTCGGGAGTAGTGGTGCCGTACGCGACGTATATCAACCTCTCTCCCTTTCTCTCTCTCCCTCCCTCCCTTTCTCTCTCTCTCTCTCTCTCTCTCTCTCTCTCTCTCGCGCTGTGTGTATGTGCATGCGCGCGCGTGGTCGGCCGCCTCGGTTATACGACTCCGGCTCGTCGCAGGCGGTTCAGTTGAGCAATCGAATCGGAGAGTAACCGGTACAGACGCGCGAGTGAGGAAGATTCATCGACAGTGATAGAGGCTGCTGCACCTACGAAGGGAATGGTCGCGATAGATGTTGAAATGAAAACGCGTACGCAGCGACGGCGATGTCAATAATTCGGTGCCGCCGCG